GTCCCCCAGATTATTTTTTGGTTTCTTTTTTTCACCAATTGAGGGGGAAAAAGCCCTTTTTTGCTCCAAACATTCCAAACTTTTTTTTTTTAAACAAGGGGGGGGGGGGGGAAAGGTTTTTGGATTAAAAAAAAGGGAAAAAAGGGCCCGGGGTTTGGGGGAGGGGGGGGGGGGGGGGGCCAAAATTTTTTTTCAAACCCCACGGGCCCCCCCGGTTCCCAGAAAGGGGTTCGGGTGGGGTTTTCAAAAAAACCCCCCCCCCGGTTTTTTGTTTCGGCCAGGGGTTTTGGGGGGGTTCCTTTTGTTTTTTCCCCATTGGGGGGAAACCCCCAGAAATGTGGGGGGGGCCCCAAAAGATTAGTTTTAAAGGGGAACTTACCCATGGCGTTGTTGGTCGCTTCAGTTGTACCCCAATTTTTTGATGTTTAAAAGGGGGGGGGGGGGGGGGGGGGCGTTTCGGCAACGAAAATAACCTAAACTATACGGAACAATACGCTACGTCTGTTGTTGTGCGCATGCAACGCCGCGTCACGACCTTTTGCGAGACTTGTTTGTGTATCCAGGCAAGTGTATGTTGACATGTCTTTGCACAAGCTTGTGCTCGGCGAGGAGCTCGCCTGCCTATTAACGGCGGTGTCATCGATGTGGAGGACGTTGTACAGCTCCTGTCCTACCCTGGCTGTTTGGAGGCTCAGGCGATTCTAACCACAGTAGGGGGGGGCAGTTTAGCGACCCCCTGTTTAGCGACATGCCCTGTTAGCGACCACAAAATCGCGCCGCACCGCCGCACCCCCGTAGAATCGCTGCTATGTAATTGGAAATCCGGCAAAGCGACCTGCCCTGTCTAGCGGCCACATTTCGTTGTGACATAACTAAACCGAGCCCCCCACACCGGAATACCATTCACCAGAGAGAGAGAGATAGAAGCGCCAGTGTAGGGTCAGCACTGCAAAAATGCAAAGTACTTACCACACAAAATTCAACTGCTAAAAAAATGTCACGAATCAATGCAACGATAAAAAATTGTCGTGGTTACGGTGGCGGTATCTCAAGAAAGGGAAGGGACACATGAGGACAGCTTGTTTAATCAGAGAGGGTGGTACACCACCTCTGCCACAGCTGCTACCATTCATCCGTGCTTGGTTGCCTACTGGCATGTTTCAACGAACTCTTTAAGCATCGTACCTGCATAGCAATGGGAAGGGACCCAACGGCGACTCACCTAGAGCATGACATTCCTTGTCCAACATTGTGAAGTCCATGGCCTGTTCATAAGATCACCCGGAGAGAAGGCGGTTCGACTACAATTTTGGGGCTCCCAGCACGGGATGGGGGTCGCGGTCAGCCAACTACTGTAGGCGTCACGACGACTCACAAGGCTTTTGGGGAAAAAATTACAGCATTAATTTGGGCGACATGTGGAAACCAGGATATAGGTATCTTCCCAGTAGTAGGGACGTACATACAACCGTATAGTCTAGATCCGTGACCCTCTCGAGGTCTGAAGATCTTTACAACGAGAATACCCTCTGTCTGCTGAGACCAGCCGGAGGGTGGAAGCGAGCCCTGAAGCTCACTCTCACCTTTCACCCTAGCAAGGCTGTCTAACGTCAGCCACGCTTGGCCATTCCTTGCCACACTGCAATAAGAACGAAATTACCTCCGTTGGTGAACGGTTATTCACCAGTTCAGGAACCTTTGCTCATAGCGGAGCAAGGGTATTCTCAGACAAAGGCTATTAGTTGTAGGTGGCGGTGACGACAGCAGCACCCACCACGTCGGATATCACCGTAAGCCTGACTTGTCGTCACCCCTACTCGCCCGGAATGGCCGAGGCTATTGTTGCAAGTGATCAGATCACGAGCCCGACTCCAGCCACCGGTGCTGCTTTGCTAACATCAATCGAACCACTGAAATTAGGGTGTAACCGCACGTTTCCGTTGAACCACGACCAACATGCGATCGTTCGCGTTGGTGTTGGCTTCGTTGTGCCGAAGATATAACAAAATAAACAGTTTTCGCGCCTGTACCCAACACCTCTTCTCCAACAAGCCAAGGCAAAGAAATGGATTCCGTGGTCACAGGCGAAATAAATTTTCCTCTTCTCGCCGAGAAGCAACAGCCGATCAAGAGGCGGCCTGAAAGATACTCGGAATAGTGGCAAAACAAATAATAATGAAAGTAGGTCCTTCTGACTTGAAATGAAATCTTACCCGCCGGCTGACGAGATCCACAATTCGGGCTCAATCTTGGCTGTTCATTTCATCGAGCTCGCGGGAAGGGTCGCTTCACAATAATTACTCTGGCAAGCAACTCAAGGCAGCGCTCGTCGAGGGAGACCGGGCCTTGTAATCTGTCATTGTAGGGACAGGTCCGAGTCCTTCCATCTTCTCATCCCAAACGAACGGCATGCTCATCGTCGGGTCGGATCAGGCCGACCAGGCCCACAACCATTTACTACACCCTGGAGGTGTGAGCAAAGGGCGCCAAAGTTAATTGAATCCACCTACACATAATGAAAAGGTATGGCCGTAGTAAGGTGTTGTGACACACCCAAAACACATCCCCACGCCCTTGCCATACAATCATGTGCCGGGGGGCTCTCGGTCGGATTTTTACAGAACAAAGGCAAGAAACAGTAGTAGTGTCGCGCCCGCGGCAGTTGTTGCGTGTTTTTTTATTAGCATCGACCGCGCTAACCGGCTGACCTATGAAAAGACGTCAGTCTCAGTGCTGTTGAAAACACAAAACATTCTAAATGCCATTAACTGGGACCCCGTGAGGGGGCGGCATGGGGGAGACTAATCTATTCTCCGGATCAAAGACAGAAACGGTAGCAACAGCAGACTGCACTTGAGTTCGTTTTGGAGTGCTTTCACCATCATCCTCCTTGCTTTCAACTCCACGTTAGTTCTCATTATTATCGTTTTGACAGCAACTTTTTTTCGACATTTCTTCTCTGGGCCTGCGTCGTTTGTGGTGGGAAGGTTATATGGCTCGATTTTTTTGCTTTCTTCCACGCCACGATTCCCTCCTCGACTTCTGTTTTGGTCTCAGTCTTGTCCTCTTCCCGTTCCCTCTCCTCCTCCTTCATCGCTGCCAAACGAATTCCCCTCATTGCCATCCTGGTCGATTCTATCCGCACTACTACCGGTCCCAACCGAATATAGACTAGACTACGTTGTGTAGAGGTGATGATCAAGCGGTGCAGACGACCTGCAACTTGAACGCCATGTGTAGGTTCATTCCTAGGGCCTCGAGGTCACTGGGAGAGGGACCGCGTGGTGGGTACTTCCCTTGCCTGCAGGTGTCTCCGGGGCTGTTGCTAGGTGCATAGTCGTGAGGGTGTCGTATGAACGGCATCAATTATTCAGCTTGCGGTAGTTTCATTTCACCTCATTCATAGTGGTACCGTAGTTCGGGTGCGGCAAGTCCATGTGAGTTCGATCTCGGCGAACAGGCTGTTTTCGGCATGTTGTGCACATAGCTATATATGCAGACGTGGTATGGTGCACACAAGCACAATCGTACGCCTCAGCCGTGTACAGCAGTCAAGGCTGCCGGAGAGTAGGCTGCCGTAGTGTAGCATACGTACCATGTTCGTGACTTGACGGGAAAAAAAGAACAACTGCTCATTTAGACGATGAAAACGGCGCCACACAGGTCCCTGCATGGTCTCAGACTAGACCTTTCATCTAGAGAGGCAGGCCGCGGCGGACTGCAGAGTAGGGATGAACGCAGGAGGAACGATGAACAGCGATGGATCCGGACATCGGGAGCTATGGTCCATGACCTTAATGTATATACGTCATAGACCATAGATCGGGAGGGTCGATCGATCGATGGATGATGGATGAACGTCCAAACTGACGGTTCGCGAGCAGAACCGAGTTCTATTTTTTTTTTTCAAGGGTGGCGGCCTAATCAAAAGTCGTGGCTTGTTGATGCTGTGCTTGCTGTGTGCTGCGTCCTGTGTGTTCAGGTAGGTCTTGGCTGGCACACCAAGGCTGCCCCGAAGTAACGCCCCCTAGTGTTGCTCCCCTTCTGAGTCTCGCGGTCACACGGACACACACGTAGGTCGTAAAACGAGTGCGTCGGGTGCTTTGTTTTGAATCCAGACAGCTGCGTTGTGCATGAACAGCAGCAGCAGTGCCACACGGTCTTTTGGCCGACTATCGAGCACCGTCTGATCCTACGAGAGGCATACCTCTGAAGCGGTATTTGCTCAGAAGCTTGCCTCATCATCGCCCGCTGTGTTCGTTGGTGTGCTGGACCCGGATATCACGCCTGCTCTGGACATCGAGGGGAGGAAGGCAAGGAGGAGGACGAGAACGCCACGTGGGATCATATTGCTGTTGTCGTGTTCGTGTACACCAACAGGGAGAGCAGCACAGCAAAACTGTAATAGCATCAGAGAGGACACCACGACAGAAGCCTTCCCAGGTGCTGTCCTCACCGGCTGTTGGTACCACTGGAGCAGCTCTGTGCTGGAGTACCGAAGGCCCTGGAGAGCGCACGGACAACCAAGACCTCCACGATGCGTGAAGCCCTTCTTGCGGCGTTGGGGGGCATCTCCCAAGACCAGCTTTTCAGAGCTTGCGGGACGGCGGGCGGACTGCTTCTCGCCGGTACGGAAAACATGATGAACATGACCGACCGTTAATCTCGAATTGCTTGCCAAAAAGGCTGCTGCCACGTGTTCGCTGCGCAGTGTTTTGCCTCTGTTGTGTCTCTCCTCTTTCGAGCTCGTCCCTATTTTCCAGTTGGAAATGATCTACCGAGTTTGTTCGTACAACCGCCGCGTCTCTCAAATCGATACAGCAGTAAAGGATCATGATTCCACGACAAGTGTGGCGTGCTCATCTGATCCGTCGCATGGAGCACCGGAGGGTGTCCAGCGATCTATCCCGTGCAAGGTTTACGGGCCTTGCTGCTCGTGTTGTAAGTATAGACTACAGCAGTTGACGTGACACAAGATACCACACCCCCTGGACCGATTTTCAAAGCTCGATTACTCCACGACGAACAGGATGCCAAAAACCAAACGATATGTTGTTCGGACCGAATCTCGACGGGATGGTTCCAACGCCGCCATTTAGGCACCGCCACTCTCCGCAGCTGTGGAGTATTCGCTCTTTGAAAGTCGGTCCAGGAGGTGTGATATCTTGTATCACCTATATATCAGTGGAAATCGAGGTCTAGGATGGTTTCGGTCGAGTCGGAATTGTTTGCTTGGGTTCCGCGACAACACGGTGTGTATTGTGAACCTTCGTTTGCAGGGAACCTTGCTGACGTGTGTTCCGTGTTCGGCTCTCGTGTCATGCCTTGCCTATGTACCACTCCAAGCTGATGTCTACGTAACCCTACCTCCCCCGTTTTCTGTGCCCCCCCCTCCAACGAAACAGGAGCACAGTTGCCACAGATTTACCATGTCACGAAGCGAGGGAAGTCTCGGGACATCAGCTATATGTACCAGGTGCGACGAAGCAGTAGGATCTGAACGCGCCAGCACTCCGAGGACACAGTAGCTGTAGACCAGCTGGGCTGTCTCTTGCTCCTCACTATCGCCATCACAGAGGGTGCCGTCGGGGAGCGGGGCTGGAGACTACAGCAGTAGTGCGAGGTCTCCCTTGCGTGCAGCATGTGCTTTGTTCACGTTTTTTTTTCTTCTCTCTCTCCAAAGTATACACCATGGGATCGCCTCTGCCGGAATGACGGCCTAGCAACAGTCAGTTTTTGAACACCACCCCCAACCCCTTGTCCACCCGTCATTCCTCGCAATCGACAGAAATGGACACCCGCCCTTTGCCCGTACCCTTTGTCTGTTCCGCCACCACCACCCCTTATCTTGGTGCTGTATCTCCCTCTCTCTCTCTCTCTCTCTCTGGCAGTTCATTTTCGCGGGCGGGATGATCTGCTTCCTCATCTACTACGGCTACAACGGCCTCTGGGCGGTGTTCGTCCCGTCCTGCTTGTCCCTCGTCTGCATGTGCTACCTCATCGGCCTCAAGGCCTACCTGGAGGAGATGAAGCCCAAGCGCACCGTCGCGACGCAGATGATCAACGACCTTCTGCGGGACGACGACGACGGCTTCGACGACCTCGACGGCTTGGATCGCCCGCTGCTCGGCGGGGCATCCGAGGAGAAGAAGGGGGACGACGAGTTCATCGCCTACACGGCCCCGGGCAAATAAGCTATTTAGAAAATCGTTGATTCTTTGGCGGGGGAGGGTGCTCGCCGTTGCCAATTTACCGTTGGCCACCCACCTCTCTTACGAAAGGGAGCACCGTTCGCCGTTCTTTTGGGGGGGAGGAATGTGTAGAGGCGTTGTTGATACGTGGCGAGGCGAGGAGGTGTGGGCGCGGCAGCACGTTGTTGGGGGGCGGCAACGGCAGTTTGCCCGGTAACGGCGGCCCCGAGATGATGTGTCCACCGCTAGACGGCGACATTCACGGCAGCCATGGAACGCCTGCCTGCTAGGCCTAGCGGGAGAAAAGTAGCCACCGGGGACACACGGTGAAAGGAAGGTTGACGGGAAGACGAGCAGTGCCAGCAGCGGGGCCTGGTGCCCCGGGGGACGGGCTGGGAAATCACCAGTCCTACGTCGAGCCACCACGTGCTGTCCCCGGGAAATATGGCGAGAGGAACAACGCGTGGCAGCCTTTGGAATAGGCATGGCTCCGCGAAATGGGTTGCCACGCGATCGGGGAGGAGAGGGGCAAGGCGGCGGGCGACATTGCACCCTCGGGGGTGTTTTAGCGCCTCACACACGGCTCACGGCTGCAGTCACCGCGCAGTACAGACGCTTGTTTTTTGTCGCTGCCCCGCGTAGTTTGCCTGCAGCGTGAACCCGACCTTCCTGCCACAAGGCTTTGCGTTGCGAAACGCACAGGATGCAGACGCGGCTTCCACAACACGGTGTGCTATAGACTATGTGGTAGCGATGATGACAGCGATATCGCAATTTCTCGATAGTCCAGGAGCCAGCGTGTTGCTGTGGGCCCCGAGCAACGCCGACCGAGCATTGCACGTTGAATCGGTTGACTGACAATGATTTCCGTCACGTTTTGAAACCACGGAGCCCCCCCGCTGTATGTAGCGTTTCAGGCAAAGTTTGTGTATTTGGGTTGGGGTTATTCGTGCATTGGGTCCGGACCTCTCTTTCGGCCGGCAAGGACAAGGAGCGGAGGAGGTTGGTGGTGTCATCTATTTTGCTGTTGTTGTGGAAGCTGTTGCCTTTAGTGGACGACCATATATGTTGCTTCTGTGCTTTTCCATTTTTCTCTCCTTTGTGGCGTGTTCGAAAGACCATGCGGAATACGGTAGTCAAGGGGCAAGAGCAGTCGTGAGTCATGCTGTATGGCATGCGCCACCTTTGCCGGTGCGCACCGACAGACTTTACGGCAAAGGCGCATCTCGTGCGTGGTGGCAGCAGTGTCGTTTGTGTTGTTTGTGCCCGATTGTTGAATGGACTGAAAAAGTAAATCGAAAGTGTTTGAATATGTCAGAAACTCGGCAGCAACAACCACAAACAATAGAACAGCAGCGACGATGCTGACGGGATGATTGCCTTGGAGGATTCCCTGAGAACGCCGCCCCGGGAGCGGAACCGTCGCAAGTAGGCGCAAAAGGAACACACCGCCGATAGCGCTCTCGAAGGAATGGGGCAAAACAAAAAGGATAAAACAGAACGACAACCCCGGGGCCTTCCCAAAGCTTTTGTGCTTATCGCCGGTGGTACTTCTTCGGGGGAGGTAGTGTTCTCAACGGATACATGTGACGGTCTGCGCGCTTTGGACCATGGCACCGTTGCACACGTGTAATATTGTTACCTCACCGCGCCTGAGACACCATGGTTGAGGTTCGTTTTTTCTCAACGACAGCAAGGGTGTTCGGGCCACGTGTTCATACGGCAAGCTATTTTCGGCGTTTTCGAAGACCCAAGAGATCCAGCGTTAAAAGCTTTGTTCGAATAGTGTGTGAAATAATAGCCCGGCGGTGGCCCCGGCCTCATCTGAAGCCCTTTCGCTTGTTCCGCAGGGAGGGTATGTATGTGTGGGGTCGAGGATGACGCAGTTGGGGGCGGTGATGAAGATGATGGATAAGTCCATGAAAGAAGCGAAGAAGGAAGAAGGAAAGAAACACCGTTTCTCCCCGGTTTCGACTTAAAAACTTAAAACCCACTTGACATGAGTACGAAATAGAGCGGGCATTTACACAGGGCGCCGTCGGCCGTGCCTATGGTAGAATAATGTGTGAAACTAGGCGTCATATATATTTGATCCCTCCCTGTATTGCCACCTTGGCTGAACATGGGCCATGCAAGCACAACTCTCAGGACGAAGCTATTATAGATGAAATTCGACAAAGTGATACCTCTTCCCGAAGTATGATAGAACGCCCATCAACTACATAATGCCTAACCAAACTAATGCTACATTCAAGCACTAGTTTACATCCTGCACGCTAAACCACGTGTGGGTGACATAGCATACAACCAATTTCCCAATTTGTAGACCCTCCAAGCGACTTTCTCCCAGCACACCCAAATCATGCCTTGTCCATGTACAATGTTGCTATAGGCGTCGAGCGCCCACCACCAACTGAGACGCTTGAGTGTCCTATTCTTTTTTTTGCCTAACGCGTTGGCCCAAGTGTTGAAATACCCCCCCCCCCCGCCCCCCCCGGTGTTTGCCATCGGGGTTTGGGTTTTCGTCGCTTGGCAACGACGTTGTAAAACAAGCCCCCCACTCGGTGTTTGCCATCGGGATTGGGTTTTCGTCGCTTGGCAACGACGTTGTAAAACAGGCCAATTCACTTCGTGAACTCGGCAACCAGGTTACCGTTTTTTTTTTTTACCTCGTTTTTTTTTTTTTGGCGGTAACCATAATGGTGGTCGAGTAGATCATGTTGTGCGGGGTCGAGAAACCTCACCCCGCGCAACGGGGGATGATCGCACCACGTTGTGTTAAAATGGTCAAGCTTCCTCGAGGCAGTTACACCGTGCGTACAACTGTCTCTGGAAGTGAAAGCACCAGAAAATAAATTAAGTCACACGTAGCTGTCATCCGTACGCAAGGAAGTAAGCACAAGATGCCGAACACCCTTAGCAGGATGCAGCTCACCCTTCATGCGACTCGCCAAATACCTCACGGCGCTTCGCGCTTGGTGATGTGAGAGCCTGGTCCGGTGAGAACCCGGCGTGCTCCGTCCCGGCTTTGTAGGGATGCGAGGTCAATGGTCAAACGACTACGGCGTGCACGACTATGAGTACACCCCCCCCCCCCTCCCCCCTAACCTCCCCCCCAAAACAAAAAACAAAAAAAATGCACAATCGAACACCCGTAGGAACTTCAAGCCGCTCAGTAAAGCCGTCGCCTTTCAACACCCCGGCATATTGTGTCTGTCCACGCCAAGCCAAGGAGGCATGCGCCCTCGCCTCCATTACGACAACCAGCAAGCGTCGGGTGGCTGTGTGCCAGCCCGCAGTTCAGCTTCACCGACCCCGCCCGCCTGGTGATAGTTCTCCTCACCACTTCCCGTTTTCGCAGCCTACGGGAGGCGAGGCGGCTTTTGCGGCTTGCTGGGGTCCTGTAGCGGCACGTTCGGACAAGCCAGCGGCTGTGGTTTAGTGATGAGGGACACTGCTGTGCTGTCAGTCGCCGTCGTTGGTGTTGTTGTTTTGCTCTTGTCGTCGTTGTCACCTGCCGCTGTTGCTACTACTACGCGTGGCGGTGTCGACACTAACGTGGACACTGTTGTCTTGCCTTCACAGAGAGGAGGAATACAGAGGACGCAGTTACAGAAGTTACCATAAGTGTCGCTTTTCGTCTTGCCTTCATAGACGAGGGAGACCGCAATAATCACCAAGACAGGCCGCAGCAGAAGATGTTGCGGTGAAACACACACTAAACAAAAAAGAACGACAGAACATAAAAGGGGAGGGGAAGACCGTCTTGACCCTTTCTAGACTAGACACCCGCTGTGGGCACTGTCGAGTGGCCGGATGCCCACAGGGACATGTGCTACGGCTGAGCAGCAAGCGAGACGATCGGGCCCATGAGCAGCATGACAGAGAACGGGTCAAGCGTGAAGAGCGAGGGCCATTCAATCGACTTCGCCACACGACAGCCAAAAATCAATCCAGGCGCTCGTACAGAACATGGCTCACTGCAGGGTTTTGAGTGTCTCACGTGGCAGATATCTCGCAGTTCATCAACATGCGCCGCATATGCGGACTATACGCTGAATACATACGTTTCAACAGCGCGGCGTCAGCAGAGTCATCCCACGATAGGGGGGGGGGGCGTACTCTTATGTTTTGCATGCCTTAGCGGTGAAACCATTGACCACGATTACTCGAGAGGACGGAGCATTGTTCCCACAGGACCGATCACCGATGGCCGATCGTTCCTTCCTACTTTGCCAAAGGTGGCTCAAAAATGTCTTCCGTAGTCTGTCTATCCTAACGATATCCCTTCCCGCCTTTTCAAACCACTTCCTACTCCCCAGTACAGCTACCGTCCTCTCCTCTCTATTCCATGCCTCAAACATCTCCCTGTGCGTCCCTTGTATTTTTCCCAGCTCAGTCATGAACACTTCCCTCTCCTCTTCGTACCACGGACATTCCGCGACTACATGAACACGGTCTTCGAATTCGAAGCCCCAATCACATTTGAATTTATCGTCTTCGTCGTCTACCGTCCTATCTATGTCTTCGTCGACGTTCTCGAAGGCCTATGTCCCCGGTCCTGAACTTGAGCTTTGTCCCTGCATCCATTGGTCCATGTAGGCAATCCTTGAACCCTATTCCTTCTTTCAACATTCCGTACACTTCTAGACCCTCCTTATCCTCGGTTTCTGTTTGGGGTGCTCAGCAGGATACTGATCTACGGGGCCTCCGGGGGTTACGTGAATGATGTTTGTGTATGATGGACATGATACGTGCGGGGCCCCTCGTGCCTCCGCCGTGCATGCCACTCTCTAATCAACCAAGGTCTTGAGTCAACCTTCTTTCTCTTTCGGCCTCTGACGGGCTACCGCACCCAAACACAATATATTGTATGGCCTGGTGTTGGTAGTGGGTATTGGCGTCTGAGCTGTGTGAGCCGGGTCAACGGAGCGGTCGACACTTTTCTTCTATATTTCTTCAAGCTGGGATCGCGGCCAACGGGGGCGAGGACAGCAGCATTGTGTAGCTGGTGCGGTGGCCATTGCGGGGACCGGGACAGCAGGTTTTATAGCTGGGACAGCACTTCGAGGCTGGGACAGCAGGTTTAGGGTTTTAGTTAGATATGTCGGATGGTGGGGATACGGAGGATATTGCAGCTGTGCGCGCGAGGCTGGATGAGGCGCTGCGAGCTATAGAGGCTGCTAAGGCTGAGACGGCGGAGGTTCGGGCAGCACAGCAGCAGTCGGCGGGTGCACCTGCCGGCAGCCCAGGAGGCGACGGTCTAGTTGCTACTGGAGGGGCTCCATCTGCATCGGTGGGGCCGACGGGGCCAGGTGGGGTGAGTCATGGTGGTGGTACTGGTGTGCCGGGTTTGCCTTTGGGAGGTACCATTGTCAGAACTCCTGTGCCTAGACTCCCGTCAAATTGCACCGCCGACGCTTTTCTTAGTTGGCGGAGACGGTTCCGGGTCTACGCGGACAACCATGATCTCCTGCATACCATCGCCGGCAGTGCTGAGGTTCCCGTTGTGAGTTGTCAAGACGTCGGATACCTGACTCGCCAGTTCGGCCCAAAGCTTGTTGGTGAGCACAAGAGGATGTGGGGTTTTATCTTGGAGGCAGCGGTGGGGGCCCCATTTGAGAACACCCTGTACTCTTGCCATTCCGTGGCCGATGCGTGGAGGATGATGGAGGTATTAGATAAAATTAGACCATCTGACCAGTCAACGTTGACTGATCAGATGGTCTAATTTTATCTAATAGGAGGATTGGTTTTTGCCGAACCACCCAGCCGATTGTCAGCTTCTTGTCGCCGAGCTTGACAACATCACAATGAAGGATGATGAAGACCCAAAGGTATTCTTCTCGCGTGTTGCACAGCTTGAGACCAAGTTGCGGGCTGTGGGCATTGTCAAGAGTGAGCTGGAGGTTGTGCAGATTCTCATCCGTCAACTCCCTGCACGCTATGATGTCGAGAAGCGCAGTAGCCTTTCCAAGCGTGATCTAACCCGCGCTGAGCTGCAGGACGTCGTGCGTGGTCGGTATGCTACGCTCAAGGCTAGCGAGATGAGGTCGGCGGCTGTGACACCGGCGGTTTCCGCCAACCCGCATGCTCTTGTTGTTGGCCGTGGTTTTGGGCACGGCGGCAACGGGGGGGGCGGGGGGGGCGGAGGCCAACGGCGGAATGGTAACAACGGCGACGGCCGCGGGCAATATTGGTCCTCTGGGGGAGCTGGTGCCCAACAGCAGCAGCAACCGCGGCAACAGCAACAGCCGCAGTCGCAGATGCAACAGTACCGACAGCCGCAGCAGCCGCAGCGGCAAATGCAACAACCGTACCAACAACCGCAGCAGCAGATGCGACAGCAACAGCCGTACCAACAGCAGTCGCAGATGCAGCCGTACCGGCAGCCGCAACAGCAGCAGCGGCAGCAGCAGCAGTCCGCTATGATCGGGGTTGGCGGGATCTACGATTGCGGTAGTAACGCCGTGTACTA